TATAGACCTGAAGGAGCTAAAGGGTGAACTATGTGGATATCTGAGCAAATCATGGTCCAGGCAAAGGAAACACAAGTGCAAAGGTCCTGGGGCAGGAGAGGGCCTGGCCTTTCTAAGGAATAGCAAGACACCCAGTGTGGCTAGAGGGTAGTGAGGAAGGAGAAATGGAGAAAATGATGGGTTCAGAGAATTTAAGGCCTTGCAGACCACCATGTCTTTTACTCAGAGTGAGGTGGGAGCTATTGAGGACTCTGAATGGAAGAGTGACATGACCAGTCAGGTTTTCAAGGGCTCCCTCTGGCAGCTACTATGGCAAGGCAAAGGTAGAGAATCGAGGAAGGCACTGCATTGGTCCAGGTGGGAGATGAAGTTTACTCAAACCAGCATGTTGGTGGTAGAGGTGGAGACAGGTGCTTAGATTCTGGAAAGCTTCTGAACAAAGTGCCAACGGTACTTGCTCTGATTGGATGTAAGGTGTCAGAGAAAAAGCAGCTGGAGATAATGCCAAGGTTTAGTCTGAGCAACTGTAAGGGTGGAGTTGCCATTTGCTGTTACAGGGAAGATTAGAGGAGCTGGCTGGGAAAGGGACATCAGGAGTGCAGTGAGGGGCACGTTAAGTTTGAGAAGCCGGTTAGTGGCACTATCAAGCATACAGTTGGATATGCTGGGGTGGAGTTTAGGAAAAGATTAGGGCTGTTGATACAAATGTGGAAAGGAAAACATGAGATGGGGTAAGAAAAAAAAGGGAGTGAGCGTGGAGGGAGAAGTCCAAGGGTAAATCCTGGGACACTCCAAACGTTAAGGTATCAGGGAGGGGAGGAAGGAGCAATGTCTGAGTCAGTCTGGGCTGTGTGATACTGTGATTTATAATAAATGTATATTTGGCCATTGTTTCTGACACAGAGCTCCTAAAACCTTTGGAATTCCTGAGTGATAAGAGCAACAAAGGTATTTTTGTTATGTTAATGAGGTGACTTTCGGACCTCACCTGAAGATAGAGGCTGGTACCAGAAGAACTAAACTTGTCACTACAGTGTTGGAAATTTCAGTCCCACTTGCTGACCTCCGGGGAGGGGAAAGGGGCTGGAGGTTGAATCAATCACCGATGGTGGGTAATAATTTTATCAAACATGCCTATGGAATACAGCCTTCATAAAACCCACAAAGGGCAGGTTTCAGAGCACTCCCAGGTTGATGAACAAGAACACATCCAAGTGCCAAACTACACAGGAACAGAAGCTCTCTTATTCTGGACCTCCCCCTATGTATCTCTTCACCTGACTGTTGATTTGTACCCTTTAATATCCTTTGTAACAATCCTGGTCATCTAGTGAGTAAACTGGTTTCTTGAGTTCTATGAGCTGCTCTAGCAAATTAATTGAATCCAAGGAGGGGGTCATGGGACATGTGATTTATTAACCAGTGGGTCAGAAGCATGGGTGACAACCTGGATTTGAGACTAGCATCTGAAGTCTTGTGGGACTGAGTCCTTACTGGTGGAATTGGATGCTGTCTCCAGGTAGATAGAACGGAGTGGAATTGTAAGACACCCGGCTGCTGTCAGAGACTTGCTTGGTGGTGTGGGTGGGTGTGGGGGGAACTGCACACACTGGAACTGGATGCAGAATGGTTGGCTGCTATAACAACATGCCATAGATTGAGAAATATATTTCTCACAGTTCTGGAGGCTGGTAAGTCCAAGACCAAAGTGCTGGCAGATTTGGTCCCCGTGAGGGCCCAAATCAAGGACTACAGACTGCAGTTTTCTTGCTGTGTCCTCACATGGCAGAGAAAGTGAGCTCTGGTCCCTCAGTCTTCTTACAAGGGCACTAAAATCCCATCTTGGGGCTCCACCCTCGTGACCTCATCTAAGCCTAATCACCTCCCAAAGTTCCCACCTCCAGATACCATCACATTGGGTTTTAGGGCTTTAGCATACGAATTTGGGAGGACAGGAGCATTCATTCTACTGCAACCCAGCAAAAGAGACTGAGAAGGAAGAGCTAATGAGGAAGGAGAAAAACCAAAAGAGCACGATGTCCTGAAACCAAGGAAAGAGGTTCAAGGATGAGAGAGTACTCAACAGGGCCAAATGCTGCCGATAAGTGGAGTTAAGGCTAAGAGATGATCTTTGATTTAATATCCTGTTGTTTGAGATCTTGACAAAAGTAGCTTCAGTGGAGTGATGAGGATGAAAACCTGATTCAAGTGGATTCAAGAGAGACTGGGAAGACAGATTAGAGACAGCAAGTATAGACAACTCTTTTAAAGAACTTTGCAATAAAGGGGAGTAGAGAAATGGGGCAAAGCTGGAGAAGAATATGATGGGAGAAGTTAGAAAATAATTGTATATTGATGGAAATGAAAGTGAAAATGAAATAAAACATATATAATCAATTCTCAATTACACACAAAAAACCAGAGAGAAATAGTGTGACCTATTTGATGTGTTTACTTTAAAAAGCCTTATGGAATATCTGAAACATTAAAAAAGCATATGTAAGTTCTGAAACACCCACAAACCCCCCACCCACACCAAGAGCTAGACTACCACCAATCACATCTATATGCTCTTCCTTCTTTCATCCTCCCTGCTTCTCTCTTAGAAGAAAGCAAAGTTTCTGAATTTCATGATTCTCATTTCTTTGTAAAGTCATAGTCACGTCACTATTTTCTGTTGTATTTATTGACTGATAGAACCTCACCCTAACCCCCTGTAGACTGTCAGATCACTTTGGTCAGGCAGTAACATGAAATTACTTTCTTACATTTAATTTCCTACACTAACATTCAATTTTTCTTCTTCCATTTCTAGCTTTGCCTGAAGTATCCCTTCTTCTGCACAAAGATCATCATTATTCATTCTTCTCTGTACCACTTAACCTGTATGAAACAGGAAGGGACCAGCACATCTTCTTCCCTTGTGCACTTACAGAACAGACCCCAGTAGCCACAGCATTCTTTTTCCCCCAGAAGATGCACCTACAACCCTTAAAATAGGACTGGAGGGAAGAGGGCAGGGCATGACCACTGAAGGAATGACACAGCAGTTAAGGATAGGACAAACTGTTTAGAACCAAGATGGCAGAAGATTTGACTTCCAGTAGACCTTGAGCCTCACTGCACACCCAGAGGCACCATGACAGTTCCTAGGCTGACCATAAAAGGACCAAAAGTGCACAGGGCCCAATTCCTGGGAATCCCAGCCCTTCCTCAAAGTAGTTGGAATAATCTTTTTACTTGTTAGCATAAGAAATTACTGAGCACATAGAAACTAGCAACCCCGCACCTCATGGTCGCTCTCTCTCTCTTGCCTTCTGAGACAGCCCACACTCTGTCTATGGAGCATGTATCTATTTTTACTTTAAACTAAACACTGCCATACCTCACAGCCTCTCCCTCTTGCCCTTTGAGATGGCCCACATTCTGCCTGTAAAGCATGTTATCTCCTAAATCACTCTCCCTTCTGAGTAAGATAGACCGCACTCTGCCTGTGAAGAGCGTATCTCCCTGAATAAATCTACCTTCACTTCACCATATCTTGCTCTTGAATTCTTTCCTACATGAGATAAGAACCTATCCTCCAGTCACAAAACCTCCAGCCTCCCTCTCCAATCTTAAGGCACACACGCTGAGCAGATGCCTACGCCAATATCAGGTGCCCCCTCTCCAGAGAGCTCAGCAAGGGAGATGGTGACCAGTGATTCTATTTCTTTTATCTCCAAATCTTGCCTGTGGACAAACAGCCATCTTCAGATCATCCAGAATTCTCCAGCTATGCAAGGACCTGCAAGATTCTGGCAAATGCCAAGAGATGGAACCCTTTACAAGTAGAGGACAGCAGGCTCTGAAAGCCCTCTGCATGTATAAACCAAAAACCCAGCTTCCCCACTTGCTCACTGATGCTTGAAATTGCTTTAAGGAGAAACAACAGCTTTCATCTCACAACTACAGAAACTTTTGAAGGCCCTGGATGAACTAATTCATTTATTTAGACCAGCACACACCACGGTTGGACTGAAACATTGGCTGCCACAACAGACACCTTAAAAATGGGTGTGAAGTGTCAAGGGTTGTAGCAGAGAAAGATGAGGCTTTCTTGCCTCCTGAGGAGCTTAAAAAAGAAAAATCTTGAAATCGGAAGATCTGGAGTCAAACTGGGCCTCACTGCCAGCTGTCTATCCACAGGTAAGTTACTCAATGTTTTAAGCCTGTCTCTTATTTCTAAAATGAAGGTAAATACCTACATCCAGAGTTAATGTGAGACGTCACATGCGATGCCGTTCTGCATGTGACTATTTTTACTTTCTCTGTTGCCCCTGGCATCTTGAGCTCTGTTCCTACCCATACTAGATCCAACCCCCTTTCTTATCATTATAGAAGTTAAGACTGAGGAATCTGGAGACTCAAACTGTGGGTTCAAATCCTAGCCCTATCACTTGCTAACTCTTGGGCAAGTTACTAGGGTGTTCTGTGCTGCTTCCTCGCCTGTACAAATGAAGATAAGAACTGCCCCTGCCTCGTGGGGTGATTGTAAGGATTAAGTGAATTAATATGTGTCATGGACATAGAATCGTCACTGGTCAAAAAACTAAACAAAACAAAAACCTTGTTAAAATTCTTCCTCAGGGCTTCTCCTCACCTGCCCATTTTTCACAAGCCAAAAGATCATTGAAAGGTCGTCCACTTCTGCTCTCTAACGGACAAAAGCCCACTGTAAATTGCTACACATTCCCCTAGGTGCCTCAAAGCCCTCAGCCTCAGCCCTAAACGCTAGCCAAGCCGTCTGGTCCTTCCGCCACAAGCCGACCCTCAAGCAGCTCTCCGCCTCCCAGCTCCACCCGCGCGGAACCCAGACTCCGCAGGAGGCCGCAGCAGAGGGGGCGGGGCCCCGGCTCTGTGAGGTCACGGCCGCGCCCCTGCGCCGCGGTTGCCAGGCAGCGCAGCTGGCGTCGTCGTTGCCTGGCGAAGGCGAAGCGCTAACAAAGCCGGGTCCCGCCCCACCTCTCCAGTGCCGCGAGGCTGAGGCCGGTGCCGCCCTTCCCCGTCCAGATTCTGCTGCTTTCCGCCCGCCAACGGTGCGAGGCGCTGGATCTCTCCGCACACCTCCCTCCTGAGGCCAGGCGCGAGGTGCCGCCCGCTGCCGGATAGCCTCTTTGGGAGCAAGCATCAGGTAGCCACCCCGAGGGGAAGTGGAGGGAGGGCAGCACCCTGAGCGCCCCGACAGCTGTTCAGGTCCTGCCTGATAGGCCCATCAGGATTCTAAACGCCTCCTGTTCACAGGGCAAGAGGAGGGAACTGTGGTATTTAAGGAAACAGAACCATGGGTGATTACTGCTCTCTGCCCAAACTATGACTTCTTACATGCAGGACCGTGATTTGGAAACACAACAGAATCTGGGATCAGACACCTCCCCCTCCCCGCTCCCCCGACTAGCCAAACCTCTGCTTTTTCGTCTGCAAGGTGCATATAAGAATACCTATGAGGGACTGTCAGGAGGACAAATGGACATGACTAGTACTTTATAAACTGCTATCATTCATTCATTTTCCTCCTATATATTAAGTACTGACTGTATTCCAGGCACCAAGCTAGGTACTGGGGATTCTATAGTGAGCAGAAAATGACTGACCCTGCCCTGAAGTTTACAGTCTATTGTGGGGAGGCAGGTGTTAATCCAAGAATCACATAAATAATGTAAAATTAGAACTAGCTGCTGCCAAGGAGAGGTGAGTAAGTGATGCTCTGAGAGGGTATAACGGAACCAACAGTCAGAGAGGTCAGGAAAAGCTGATTTGAAACCAGAAGAACCTGTGGAAAGGTGAGGAGTGCATCCCAGCAAAGGCAACCACGTATCCAAAATCCATCATCGCCTATTCCAAACCCAAACAAGTACATACAGTTGCCTGGTCCTCTTTTCCAAGAGCTGTTCATAGAAACTGCCTCTGAAATTCTGGTGTCTGCAGCCTTTCATTAAAGTAACTGCAGGCTTTTGTTTACATAACTGAAGCCCTGTTTAGCCCATACTAATAAAACTAAATGAGAAATTCCAGAAACAGATATATATATATATATAGTATTTGATAAGACCTATATTCTTCAGCACTTAGCACAAAGGTGTTGGCCTGCCATTCCATATTGGGAGGCATGTAGGTTTAACAAAAGAGGAACCTGTTGAATTTTGAGTTGGGGTCGGGGTGGGGCAGGAATGATGGATAATTGAGGAAGGCCTACCATACTGACAGCTTTAAGAATGAAAAAGAACACAAAACATTGGAATCATGGAATGTTAAGATAGAATGGACCTTTCCCCACTTCTTTTATCTGATGTGAACAAATGGTCCGTAATGCCCAAAGGCAAAACTCTGGGCTTCAGTGCTTTTCAACTTAAGGAGTCTATGATTCTAAGTCTCTGTGGTTTAAAAGTGCATGGAAGTCCTGAGTCCCATGGGGACATGGGAGGAGAATTTGACCTGCCCCTCCTTCAGTGTTTTCCATCTGTGATCTATGTGCCATCTATGATGCCACCATCTACCCAGTCATCCAAGCTTGAAAAGTGGGGAGTCATCCTAAACTCCTCTCTTCTCATCCATTTCCCCCAGTGGTTACCAAGTCCTCTAGTTCCTGTCTCTCCTATCCCTCCCCATTGCAATTGCTTTTCAAGGCAATGATGCTCTCCAGAGTTGTCTCCAAAAATGCTGCCATCTTCTCCTGACCAGGCTCCCTGCGTGAAGCTTCACTCCACTCCCTTCAGCCCATCTCCACAGCTTTCAGTCAATGTGCATTTCAGAGTCCAGCAAAGAGAAAATCATGTAACAGTTTAACAAAGAAAGTTCAATATAACAAATTTTAAGCATATTAAGATTGGAGTAGTGGAAGATTAGTTAGCCAGACATAAAAATCTAAAGTATACAGGAATCACAGATATAAGAAGCTATCATTACCCTTGAGATAGATCATCCAAGAAAGAGATGACCTCCCAAGAGTGTGTCTCACAGGGTGTGGCCACAGCTCACTGGATGGCAGAGAAGCTACTGAGGTGCAGGGCAGGCAGAAATCCATTTACTGGGATGCCAGAAAAGCCATTCATGAAAAGATGACTACTGGCTGCAATCTTCAGCAAAGCTTCCCAAGAGAGGTGCCAGGGGAAGCGGCTAGCCACTAGGCACTGCAGCAGTCGGGCAGTTAGGAGATCACATACTGCAGACACTGCTGAAGCTATGCACTGCAGGGTCCCAGCACTGGGAAACTGCATGTTCCTGGAGCCTAGCAGGAGGATCATATGGAACCCTTAAGAGAAGCTCCTTCCTCCTCCAGTTTCCCTCCAGTGCCCTCTACTAACAAAGCTTAACTTTATGCTAGCTGGCAAAGGAGAAATACTTAAAGGACCTAGTTCTGTTTTTGCTGAGAAGGCAGGGCAGGTTGAATTCGGAGCAGAGATGCAATCAATTGATAAGCAGAGCATCAAGTTAACACCCAAATCTGACTGTGTGACTCTACTGCTTAAAACTTCTAGTGCCTCCCCATTGCCTTTAAGGTAAAGTTCAAAAGCCTTACCATGGTATACCAGATCTTTTATATTCTGGTCTTGGGCTATCTTTCCAGCCTTTGGCTCAACCACTCCCGCTTTATCCACTCTAGCCCTCCACAATTACTCACAGTTCCCTGAATTCTCCATGTTCTCTGACACCTCCACACCTTCGTCTAAAGAATTCCCTTCTTGCTCGTATCAGTACCTGGCACTGTTCTGAGGGCTGGGAATACAGCAATGAACAAACCAGGCTTCCCCAAGTCTCTGTTCAATATAATCACTATTTTAGAAATATTTTCTGACTACCATCTATTGCCTTCAGATGAGTTAGATGCCTCATCTAGGCGTTTCTGCTCTCCTATATAGAGTGCAGAGTTCTTGACACTTATCGCACCCAATTTTAATCACTGATTTTCCTATCAGTTTCTTCCACTAGCCTCTGAGCTCCTGAAGGCAGGATGTGCGACTCATTTATTTCTGTCTCCCAGTCCTCAGTGCTATTCCTGACAGATAACATTTTATTGGATTAATTATTGCTCAGGATCACATAATTAGTCAAAGATAGGGCCAGGACCAGAATCTTGGTCTCATAGCCACCAGTGCTTCTTCACCGGAGCTTGATCCTCCCTCTGGGACCTATGAGGAACAGCAGCCCTGTGTTTTGTTTTGGAAAAGCCAAGTGCAGTATTAAACATCATCAGGAATGGTAGCAGACACAGGAGAGAAACGTAGCCCTGATCTTTTGTTGAAAACTGTGGTGCATTCACCCCTCAGAGCCCTTGTATATGTTGAAACCCTGGATCATAGGGATGCTGTGATGAAATCAGAAGTAGGGAGGACAAGTACAAGGATGAAGTGATGTGGGGATATTCTAACCCTTCACTGAAGAAATGAAGACTTTCATACACTTAAGAAAGACAAGTTTAAGGTAGCCCTAGGTTTGTATACCAGGTCCCCAAAATAGGGGATGTGTTGTATATCTTAGGGAGCACAATTAACACAGCAATCTGTCAGTGGTATCCCTGGGTTTGTGGATCATGATATGAACATGGGGGAAATCTTTGAAATAAGAACATGACTAAGTTAACATAAATCAAAAGAGGTAACTTCACTTTTTAAATAATAAACATATGGAACTCATAAATGTCAAGAGGTGGTACTAGCATGATATATAAGCAATTTGGAGAAATTTGCTAATAACAGAGCCAAAAACTACTACTCAAAAAAAGGACAAGGTCAGGTAGGACTGCTTTTAGCAATATTGCTGTTGGCATCCAAATGCTGGGTTAACTTGATCCAGGGGTTGGCCCCCGGAGAGAAAAAGATCCAGACTTCTGTGAAATAAAGTTGGAGAGGCAAGCTAATATGAATAAGATAAATTGTGGAGCACTTGAAAGTCACACAGGGCATCATTTTGATGAGAAAAGAAATGAAAATCCACTAAAGGCTTTTCAGAGTGATGTAACAACGTGAGTGGTTAAGACCTTTTTTCTGGAAAAACTAAGCCTCAATTTCCTGGCATTGGAAAAACGATTATAATAGTAGAATCTACCTACCCACAGATTGCTGTAAGTATTAAATGAGATAAGGAATGTGCATTGGCTTTTAAGCCTGTCTTATGCTGGGCACCCCTTCCATTCTTTGCAACTGTATGGAATATGGTTAAAGAGACAATAATTATATTTTCCAGACAAAAAAATTAGGACATACTCTGACAGATAATTTTTGTTTCACTTCAAGGCGCTAAAAGTGTACTTCTTATGAGGCAAATTGGAATATCCAGGATAATTCATTGACTTATGGAGAAAGTCAGACATAATGTTAGAAACTAGCATTGTCCTAGAGAAAATCCATGGTGTGTAACTGCCTTATTCAGAGACAGGCAGGATGGTATAGTGTAGAAGGAGCAATGAAGGAGATCCGAGTTCTTGACTCAGCTCCAACATAAACTGTTGTGCCAGTCACGTCTCCTCTTTGTACATCAGTTCTCTCATTTGTAAACTGAAGACGTTGAACTATATTGGAAGTCAAATTAAGCCCCTTCCTTTTTTGGAAAAGATGTTCCTTTTTATTTTCCAGGCAAATCTTTTCAAAGTCCATGAAGACTAAAGTGGGGATATGAAAAAGAAGGATGAATAAAAAATGGCCATGATATATCAGACTAATGCAATTGAGAGAGTAAAAGAAGTTCATCCTGGATGTTTTTATGGGAAAGGGGAACTCCAGAGTAGGTAGCTGGTGGATATGACATAGAATGGTTGAAAGTTTACAATTGGAGATTCAGGAGTCATCAGCATAGAGCTCTGGTTAAAGCCACAAAAAAGGCCTCTACTTCCAGCAGAATACAGCAGCTTGCAGCAGCTCAAGCCTCCCACTGCAATGAATTTTAAAATCTAGAAAAATTATTTTTAAAGCTATTGTAAGTACACCAGAGAGCTTCAGAAGTGATGAATACTAGATTAATTACAATTCCAGGAGGGTGCTGAGCCCTTCCAAGATGAGCTGAAGGTCATAAGTCGTTTTCTTTACCAACTTTGGATGTGGACTCAGGATTGTGCTTGGCCCTTGCAGACAGATTTTACTGGAGGAAAGAGAAACCAACAAGGCTTTTGGCAGTCAAACAGCACTGGCATGACAGATT